GAAAATTAGAAATATCACGTAATAGTTTTTTGTTCTTAATAAGTTGTAATTCCGACTAATTCTCTACAGGTAAATCCGTAACATACCGGCAAACGGTATTTAGCTATGTTTTCGAAAAGGTCAATTGACCAATCATGTACGGTTTACAGATCATATGCTCCTCCATGTACCGAAAACAGGTCACGTGCTCCTCCATGCCTCAAAAGTTAAACGCGTACCAATACCTGCGGTCTCCAGACCACAGGGAACAATACTTTGTACCAGAAGTTAATGATTGCATCGTTAATCCGTTTTCTCGGATCTGCTTCTAGTAAACGCCGTCCGAAACTGTTCAAAGTCCTCATACTTTTGTGTAAATATTTTTGCAAGTGGTTTTGTTCTTTCATGGTTTCACTACCAAAAAACCCTCAAAAAGTTTGTATAGTTTGTTGAAAATTGTATGGATAGAAGTGAATAAAAAACTTTACACTCGTACTGATAAACTAGAATTAGATAACCGACTCGAAAAAAACACCATGTTCTCATGCACAACTGACCAATGACCATTACCTCGAGTACTGTAAACGATGTACAAAATATTTCACACCGTGAAATTAATATTCTTTTCCAGATATGTTTAATAGCCATTGCAATCAGCCTTTCCAAATAAGTTACTTGGTAACAATACGGCTGAACAAATCACTTACACCTCCACATTTATAAATCCGCTAATTTCAAATCTTCAAGAAAATAATTCTCAGCGTTAAGTTCTTCTCTTTGTGTGTTTAATTCATTTATAGAGGTATATTATACTAGCATTGTTCGGACGTGTGCATTGACACGCCGACAATCTATGTATCAGCTTAAATCTACATATTCCAAACAATATTCACAGTCAAACATATGGTGCTTAGCAAAAGTTGAGTAGTCTATTTTACTTTAGAATTACTTTGAAATCTGGACTTATGTTGAATTTTAATATATTTATTAAGCCTCGGTCTCACTTACTCCCGGCAGAGCCCAGGACCATCCCGGTAAGTTACCGGGATGATCCGGGACGATCCGGGATGAAATTATTGTTGCGGTCACATTTACCCCGGCAGCACTACGGTAGTTCCCTACTTACCACCCAGGATGCGCCCCGGATCACCCAGGCAGAGCCCAGGTGAAAATACGGTTCATGCCGGTGCTTCCCCTGTTGTTCCCGGATGACGCCGGAAGAGCCCCGGTTGACCCAGGCAGATCCCCGGTCGATCCAGGCAGAGTCTCGGCAGAGCCCAGGACGATCCAGGCAGAGCCCCGGTAGAACCCCGGTGGATTGAAAACGCCCGAAAATGATAACATTGATACATATTTTTTATTTAATATAATATCTATTGTTCCAGAATAGTAATTCACGATGATTTTCTGAAAAATCCTTATGCCAGACTAGATAGAAGGGAAATGGGAAGGCTTTTAATTCAAACAAGTGCAATCATCGCAAATTGTCGTTATTCTTTTGAAATGATCCGGGCTTTGCCGGGGCTCTACCGGGATCAACCGTAGCTCTACCTTTATCCTCCGGGGCTCTGCCTGTAGTTACCGGGGCTCTGTCGGCATATACCGGGGCTCTACCGTAGATCTACCGTAGCTCTACCGGCTATATCATACCCCGGATCATCCCCGCTTTGTGCCGGCAGAGCTACGGTGCTTTCCCGGTATAACCCCGGTCGTTCCCGGCAGAGCTAAGGATGAAGCCGGCAAAGCTATACCTTCCCGGATCATCCCGGACCACCCCGGTGATATTAAATATTTTATTCCATCCGGGGCCGAATGCCGGATGTTCCCGGATCATCCCGGATCACCAAGGACGTTGCCGGCAGAGTTACGGGTGTACCCCGGTTGTTCCCGGTCGAACCCCGGTCATTCCCGTATCACCCCGGACGTCTACCGGGGCTCTTCCGTGGCTCTGCTGTAGCTTTAATTGCAATATGAAATAAAGAATATTTTTATGAAACATGTATAAAGATATCTAAACAATGTCGTATGTTTTGACAAGACTAATTTCTTGGACAATTTGGATGTTGTTGTGTTACTTGATTTTGTTGGGAGTTGAATGCAGCCCTTCCTTGATGATCTGTGTTACCATATTTATCTCAAAATTATAAAATAAAATGGCATCCATGATCCCGCAAAACAAGTCGCCTAATGTCCCACTTCTGTAATCGATACATTTGATTAAAGTAAAAACTTAATGATATATTGAACTGAATATTACTTATATGACTTGTTTTCAAAGTGTTAGACTATCTCAAATGGTTGTCAATGCAAAAATATTGTAGAAAAACAAAAAGTAAATAACGTATTACTTTGGTTCGCATTTTTTATGTTTCATTTGCAGATTCTAAACTTCACAATCACTTTAATTGTATTAACATTGTAAGATTTAGAATTGCAATAGTTTAGCTGAAAGAATGCCAACGTAGACTAGTAGGTGGAACAGACCAAAACCTGTATCTTTCCTATATGAAATGTGCAGCTGTTTCATTTTTGAAGATGAATTTTACTTTTTTCTTAAGTATTCCCTTTAAACTGAATAAAGAACAGAAATGAAATATATAGTTTTGGTAAAGACTGCATATACCTAAATCTGTTTCATAAATAAAACAAGAAAATATCAAACACTAATCAATGTGTATTTTTCAAACTCTTTAAAATCAAACTTACTTTTTCAGATGTTAACTAAAAAAATTATAAATATTACAAAACAACAATTTTTCACCAAAATTAGGTGAAAGACCACATGCTAACATGGAAAAACTAGTTTTTAGATGATTCCGAAGTTTTTCATAATTTTTCGTTAACCCTTTACCTCATATATACGCGAAGCAACGCACTTTCGACCCCCCCCTCCCCCTTTTTAGGCCTCAAAGAGTGAAAACATGTCCTATTTTGGCCCAAACACATGTTTTCGTTTGAGAAATGTTGTTAAAAAAATTGAGCACTTTTTCGGCGCCGCTCCCCATCCAAAAGATACATCAGGGGGTTGCCAGAAGGGGGATGTGCCCCCTTCTGTTAGGGGGGTTTGAAGGGGGGCGGAGGCCCCCTCATCGCCAAGAAAATTTTGGACTTGTGAGAGGCTAAAAATGACCCCAGGTCGATTATAATGTAACGTGTAACCAAAGCTGAAAAGCCTTTGACTCTATCTCAATCCCTTGAGAAGTTGCAGCACTTTGAAATAAATTTTGATGGAAGAAATCGAGGCAAAATATTGATTTTTGGCAATTTTGAGATGTCCCCTCGTTGCCATGGTAGCAGGAAATTTAAGACTGAGCATGTCGTTACTAAGGCAATGATCCAGTCAACATTTGTGTCAAGTTTGATTAGTATTGAAGCATTTTTCATAGTTTCATTGCAGTTTGAACTTGTAACAAGAGGCTTTTCAGTGAAAACGGCCATTTTTCACCATATGCTCATGGGGGAAAGGGTTAAATTATGAATTGTTTTTTTTATCTTTTATTGTCTTTACTTTTTCCATATCAAGTGGATGCCATCTGTTCATTCAGCTCATACAATATTTTATGATGATAAGAAATGTATTTGTCATGAATGATATTTAATAGAAACGAACTTTTTTCTGCTTGCTTTTTTGTAATTGTACTAGATTATGTTTCTTGATTAATCATGTATTATAGTATTGTCGTTGGTCATTTGAATGCTCAGAAGTTATATATTGACTTTTCGTAGTGTGTGCGAAAGGGCTTGTTTCGAAATTTATTTTCAAATATTGTTAAATATTTTGCATAGAGATATCGGCATGTCTTTATGAGATTTCTTTAAAGAATATTTTTTCCATAAAAGGGTGTGTTTTAATATTCTACTTGAATATTATTGAAAATCGAATGCATCTTCTTTGCATTGTCTTGTCTGTAATCAGTTCTCAAAACTACATATAAAAACAACTATTTACTTAGATGACTTTTTATCAGAAACACCGGCATTTATTTTTTATGTCCTTTTCTAAGATATGCTTTTTTTCAAGTAATAAATTACTCATAATGTTTAAAAATAAACAAGTAAATCATTAAAATGATGTCGCACCACATTGTAAAAAGTATTTTACTTCATTAAAATGATTTGAGACTATAGTGAAGGAACTGAAATGAAATATGTTTTCTTGTTATTATCTTGAAAGAAAACTAATACGAAATAGCAAGCATAGCATCTGTCTGTTTACTCATGGATTTCAATTTATGACTACAGATTATCTTTTATCAGCCTAAAATACAGCTTAATTTTCATAATGTAACAGAATGAAATTTTGATATTTGTATAACGCCGTCCAACACAGGTATATTTTTATGGACTTCAGCCGGATAAATTCCTCAAAATTGCACAATTTAAAAGCAGCCGATAAAAAATAAAACAATGAGGGTACTGGTTAAAGCTACGAAGCAGACTCGACAGTGGTGCAAATCCCCTAAATCTGTTATCAATCTGATATTCAGATAGGGGTTATTAAACTTTTGTAATGATTCCTAATTATCTTATGTATGAAGATATATGGGGCGTCCGTGGCCGATTGGTTAAGGTCGTTGAACTCGAACCATTTGCCTCTCACTGCTGTGGGTTCGAATCCAGACAGGGATATTGGATTCTTTCATGTGAGAAGCTCTCCAGCTAGCTTTCGGAACGTTGGTTGTTTTACTCAGGTGCGCTTTCGTGCCTGAAATAATGAACGGAATGGCACCTGAGGTCTTCCTCCACCAGTAAAGCAGGAACGTTGCGATATGACCTATACTGTGTCGATGTGACGTAAAACCCAAATAAAACAAACAAACAAAAGTATGAATAATGAGATATATATTTGAAAGAAGTAAACGATGACTAGTTTGCTTTCATTGTTACACGTCTAAGATATTATCATTGAAAATGCTAAATTGCTAATAACAAATAAATTTACATCAGTTTACAAATAATAAACAACTGTTAATACAATATTAATTTTGTTCACGAATATTTCAGACAGAAACTCCGAAAAAATGGGTGCATCAAAAAGTAGGCCATTGCCACCAGCTCTAAAGGATCTCGAAGAATTGGATCCAAAAGAGTTTGGAAACTACAAAATGGCTTTTAACAATGGTGGAATGTCAGAATTGAAAAAGAAAGTTGATGAAGATATAGACAAGTGGAAAAATGTTCCAGTGAACATTGCTGCCACGGGGTATACAGGGGTTGGCAAGTCGTCATTCATTAACAGTTTCAGAGGACTCAGAGCGAATTCAGACGGAGCAGCAAAAGTTGATGTGGATGAAGCAACTGCTGAACCTACGAAATACATGCATCCAATAAATAAGAACATTGCTCTTTAGGATCTCCCGGGGGTTGGCACCATGCGATTTCCGCGAGAAAGGTATTTACAACAAGTTAGTTTTGACAAGTATAATTATTTCCTCATCATAACAGCCAACCGTTTCTCAGCTGACGATATTTGGTTAGCAAACGAAGTTCGAAAACTTGGGAAGCAATTCTTTTTTATCCGTACAAAATTGGCAATTGATGTGAGGAATGACAAAAAAGATAACCCTGGAAAATCTAAAGATGAAACAGTCAATAAAATACAACTGGCAATGTCAAAGCATGTTGCAAACGCAAGTTTTGAAGGAGTCAGGGTTTTCCTTATCGACAACCACTGTCCACTAGATTTTGACTTCCCAGACCTAAATGAAACAATGATTAATGAAGCACCGACATGGAAACAAGAGGCAATGACATTTACAATGGCAAATCTCACTGAAAGTCTTATTCATCGAAAGAAAGCTGCTCTACAAAAACGAATTATGATAGTTGGAATAGGTTCAGCAATAGGTTGAGCAATACCTTTGCCAGGAGTGGGCCTTGTTGTAGATGTAGCAATTGTTTTCGGCGAAATTCGTTTCTACAGAAAACAGCTTGGCCTTGATGACGATTCGTTGCGTCAAAATGCAATGTCACTGGATACAACTGTTGAGTATCTAAGAGCAGACTTGAATCTTCGCAATCATTTATTGGGAGCATCTGCAAAGTCGATTGCTGCCTTTGTTTCCACACTGGCTTTATCAGATGTCGCTGAGTCGGTAACTTCAATTGCTATTCCTATTATTGGAAGCGTTATTGGAGCAACACTATCTTACGGCAGCACAGTTGCTGTCTTAAGGTCCATATTAAATGCATTTGTGACGGACTCATTAGCTGTCAACAAACGATTGATGCAACAGCTGCAAACACAGAGTTTTTCGTAAATCAATCTTGAAAGTGAGGAAAACCAAATTATTGTAATAGAAAAGAAGCACAAATATTTGAATCATTACTATATTGATAATAATTTGTGTACATGATATAATTGTTTTCATATTGTTTATAATATTTTGTTGTCTTGCATTTTACATGACATTTTTACGTCGTTTTATGAGTTAATAGCTACAATTCCATGCAATGTTCAATATATGTTATATGCTGTAACCAACATTATTAGCTCGCCTGAGCACTATGTGCTTTTGGTGATCTATTCCGATACCCCTGTGTCCGACGTCCGTCTTCGTCAACCGGTGCTTGCCGTCCTTCGTTAACATTTTTACTTTAACGACATCTCCTCCTTAACCCCTATGCCAATGGTTATCAAAATGTACAAAAAACCTTGGATGGTCCCCTCAAAAATTGTCTCAAATGATTGTGGTCTGTTTAACATAATGGCCAAAAGTGTTTAAAATATATATAAAAAATGACATCTTGTCCTCAACTGCCAATTTGATTTTGAAAAAACTACAAATCATTTTGCCAGAGGTAAAAATAACACACAAAAATGACATCTTCTCCTTTATCATTTGGTCAATTTGTAATAAACTCTACAGGATCTTCAGATAGTTTTCCATAGAAATTGCTCAGATGGCTCTTGTATTCTGATCAAAATGGCCGCCATAGCTAAAGAAAAACCTTAAAATGACATCCTTTTTACTATTGAATATACTTTGATGAAGCTATTAAGGAATGATCCTTAGATGGTTCTTTGTAAAAATTACGCCAGAGCTATAAATATTAGAATAAAAATTCTAGTCCCCATATAAAAGTGTAAATATACTTTGTTTCGAGTCAATTGCGTTATAAAAATATGAAAGGTATTTAATACAACAATTTTATCTTTAATACACTTTCCCCTGCACACTGAATATTGTCAAATTGATGTTTCTATCATTGTCTTAATAATGCAACCATCTTCTCAGGTGAGCGATCATGGACCATCATGGCCCTCTTGTTTAAATAATCAAATTGTTCTTTATATCGTTTTCTGCTATGAGCTGGCCATTGAAACGGTTACTCTTTGGATATTTTATTGGACCGAAGATGTATTGTGTTTTCCATTTGAAACATATACCATGTCATCCGGTCCAATTTGGATTGTCTTTACAAAGCACATTTTCTTAATGAACACCTTAATTGAGTTCTTTAATTTTTTTTATGTTACGTAGTCTTGTTTTGTGGGGTTTCTTATTTGATTCTTAAGAATTCTAACCATTGTGTGATCTTGTTTATACCCTTCATAAAAGTATAATACTTACATTGTGTTAAAGTAATGAATGAAATGTAAAAACTGTTAATCTGCTGTACATTTGTTACGGACTTCATCACGTTTTATATTTTTAATTCTTGTATTAAAAAGGGAATGAATATAAATAATAAACAGAACAAATTTTATAAATTAAAGTATTGGATGTATAAATATGATAAAGAAAAAACTCATAAAACGAGGAAGAAATGAAGTGCATTGGTGAACCCATACACTTCCCCTTCAAAAGGCAACTCCACACATATATTAGTCTTAGATTTCTCGTGTTTTTTTTGTATAGATACATATGTCACAAATGTGTAAATGCCCTGACAATACTGTTGATTTCGCTCAATTGATTCGGATACATTTAAGATTGTAAAAAAGTGACCCTGAAGATTGAAAACTAAAAACAACTACAATTAATTCTTTAATCAATAAGTATGTTCAACAGACAAGAAAATAATTATTTTGATCCTTTTAAATTGCTAACCATATTAACATCAAATACCTAAATCTGTAACCCCAGCATAAAGTTTCAAGATTGAGGTGTTATTTTATTTCACTTCTGCATATTATGTTACAAGATCTCAAATATATTCTATAAAGACATCTTCATTCACTAACATGATCATAAATCAAACACTGTACAATGGGCTGTTTTATGTAAACTACACTCAAGATTTCCAATTGGTTTGTTTTGTTGCAGCCGAATGCAATAAAGTAAATGAGATAAAAGAAAAGTTCTGACATATCAATATCATTAATTTAGGGAAAGATTGAATAAACACAGTTAAAGTAATCTTCTGCATGTTTTATGCAAATATTTGCAGAATGTTTAATTTGTATCATCAGAGGCAGTTTTCGTATTAGTCAAGTAAATATTGGTGCAAAACATTATAAATCAGCTTTTCTTAAATAAGCAAGATATGCTAACCCATGTAAATATTATCAGTTATTTTTATATTAACAAGGCAGTCTAAAGTACAGCTAAATCCCCTTCCGCAGTGAACATAAATCTGTATTTTTTGACATTTTACCAACCATGGCCTTAATGTTGTGCCATGCATATCATAAGCACATAGTCTCACGATGGTGATTATTTGTGCCAAGTTATTTAAAATCTTCCATAGAGTAAAAAAGTTATGGAGAACATATGACGTTGACCCTGGGGGTATTTAAAAGTTATGGAGGAGACATTATATGTAGACTTTTATACATTTGACCTTTAAGAGTAACCTTGACCTTGGGGAAGCAACTAAATAATTGCACTCTGCACATGTTCTTATGATGGTAATCAATTGTGCTAAGTTATTCTTTAAAAGATTCAGTGGTTAAAAATTAAAGATCGGACATTTTAACGTTTGACCTTAAAGTGTGACATTGACCTTTGCTTTTGGATAGCACTCTATTCATTGCGCTCTGCACGTTGTCTCATTATGGTTATAACTTGTGCCAAGATATTTCAAAAAAATTTCATCGGTTAAAAAGTTATGGAGCGGACATGAAATGTAGACTTTCTCAATCAAACCGCGACTGGAATTCTTACGTAATTTTGTTGTGATTAATGCTTCCGAGGGATCACTTTGTTTCCAGATTTTTACTAGGTATTGAAGACTTTTTAACTTTTCACCTTAAAGTTAGACCTTGACCTTGAGGGTAGCAACCTAATTCTTGCGATCTGCACATCATCTCATTTTGGTGATCACTTGTGCCAAGTTATTTCCAATTTTTAAGCGTTTTAAAAGTTATTGAGCGGACATGAAATGTAGACTTTTTATTATGAAATGAAGACTTTTTAACGTTTGACCTTTAAGTGTGACCTTGCCCTTGGAGGTAGCAACACAATTCTTGCGCTCTGCACAAAATGAATAGATATTTCAATCACCAATATTATGAATGATACATCACCCTGAAGTATCAAGGTTCTCAATAACTCGTCTTAGAAAGGCAAGAAATATTTTTTCAAACTATTTGCCATTTTCCTTATATAATATTAAATATTTTGTTTTATTTAATTATAAGATTAAATTCATCATGTATGTAAATGAAGTGTTCTTTACAATTATATTAATACATTTATACAAATGTTAAATGATATTTTATAGGTTGATTTGAAACAATACATCAGCATAATGGGAACATCTTCAAGTCAGCCAAAACAGCAACCTTTAGAAAAACGCGATGTTTTGATAAAGTCAAAATGCAACATTGCAATAACAGGTAATGCTGGAGTAGGCAAATCAACACTCATAAACAGTTTAAGAGGTCTAAAAGCAAATTGTGAAGAAGCGGCTGCAGTTGGTGTTGATGAAACGACTGAAGTGCCAATGAGATATATACATCCTTTTAATGAAAACATTGTTTTGTGGGATCTGCCAGGAATGGGTACACAAAGATTTCCTAAAAGTACATATTTAAAAGACGTTGGGTTTGACAAGTTTGATTTATTTCTTATCATTACAGCCACCAGATTCACAGAAAATGATTTGTGGCTAGCTAATGAAGTTAAAAGGCTCGGGAAAAAATTCTTTTTTATACGTACAAAAATCGATCTCGATGTTGAAAATGACAAAAATGACAATCCTGAAATTTGCAAAGCTGACACCGTTTCTAAAATACGAAGAGCTATGGCAGCACATGTTGAAAATGGAGGTTTTTCATCAATCAAAGTGTTTCTTATTGACAGCCACTTTCCACAAGCTTTCGATTTTCCTTTGCTCATCGATGCGTTATTGGGTCCTTTCTTTTTTGATCAGATGGCTAATTTTGCTTTATAATCTTCTAATGTCACACAACTTATAATTTCATGACAGTATGAAGTCACGCAACTAACAAAATCATGACAGTAAGGTCATATTTAGGCACGTTTGTAAAGGGAGAAATATCTGTTAACAATCCTTATCGGAACAAAGAAAGCTCTGTATGGAAATTATTAAAATGGTATCTGCAAATACAGTTTAAGCAATTATTGTCACCTTTCTGTGATTCCTAAAAATTCGGATCATTATCCATTATGTTTGTATTTCAGTGCTTATCTTGCAATTTACAATTGGGTTTATTTGCGTTTTGAAATAATCCTAAAGAACATTTATCTAATGAAGATACTTAAAACTTTTATTTGTATATGCGTATGTTCTTGTCTCAAAACATGTTTAATTCTTTAATTTATGCTATAAATCTTAATGGAATTCAATAAAGACGTATAGATTTATGAGTTTTATAAAAAAAAACAAATATATTTTCTACATGTTAATAATGAGTATGAAAAAAAAACAAGACTGTCGGACGGCTCAGTCGATCACTAAGAGTCTCAATTTTAAATTTAAAAAAATAGTTATCTGTAAAATTCAATTAAGTTCGCAATACTATATTCACTTCACCTCATGGGCCGTGCCTTTCAGATATTTTTGAGGTGCTAGTGGTTGCCATAATTCTAAGTTAAAAAGACATGAAATGTTTTTATAAACGGCGATTCCTCGACTTAGATCTTGTATGTATAATACATGTATATTTTAGGTTAGATTACTCTCCTGTTTTCCCAAAGACTTGCATTATCACGAATGAACAAACATCATACCTTAAATTTTAGTATTAATCCTGAAACGTGATTCATTATAGGAGAATGACACGCCCGACACAAAAACAAATCATCTCGTTATATATGACGATTCAAATGTTTCTAAAATACATTCGAAGGTAATTATTCTTTTTCCGTGAAATTTATTTAGACACTATATACGCCACGTCTTTATATGAAAACAATAAATTGATAATTTCTAGTATATTTGTCATACTTATAAATGTCACATTCTCGTACAATCACCTTGTGACGCTTACGGTTTCTCACCTTTCAGGACAACCGCTGGCCATGTGATAATACTGAACATCTCGAACTATACGATATAATGAATGTTTCATCGAAGTGCAAAGTAATGATATTTACAGCAACTAAAAAATAGTTCCTGTCTTTATTTTTTAATGAAAACTTGGCATTATGACAATTGTTATAAAAGGTACAGTTAAAAGGTAATTCAGAAAGATTTAATTTCATGTAATATACTCATACTTTCAAATGAACGGATTAGACACACACCTCTTATTCCTAATATAGAAATAGAATGACACTTTATTTTTTAGATATATATAATACTGGCATCTGTTTATCTTATTACTGTAAATTGGCTGAAAGAAAGCCATACAAGTGCGAATGATCATTCTTAGAGTGTAGATAGATATCTAGTCCAGGTACGTGTTTATATATGATTTGTAAGATGAAATTATATCTTGATCAATACCAGTTCCTCTAAATCAAGCATTTTAACCATTTCCTACTTAAATATCAGCACAAACCATTAATTGTTTTCAAGAAAAGTTTTAAAATAAGTACTTACAGGACGGAATATAACGAACAGCGCAAACCATTATCCATGTTATCGAGAAATAATATATATTTATTAGCAGGCGTGATAATACGACACACCAAAGGTGTCTGTTATCGCCGTTTATATACAATTAACAAACATTTGAACAGTTCTTACTGTACACCACTACCTTTAGCCAGTCAGATTAAATAATATAATATCAAATGATAACAAAATGGACCTCATAAAAATTCATCGGGGGTTAAAAATGGGCTCGCTACGCCATTTTTTTCCGGGGTTTCATGTACAAAAATTAAAAATTTTTTAATAAATTTAAACGAATAGTCCCAGTCTGGGGTTCATGCGGGAATAAAAAACAACAAGTTGCAATAATTTTTGTTACAAGTTGTTTCTGATTAGAGTGTTTATCCTAAAAAAGAGTACATTTTGTTTTGTTACCAATCCTTGTATTTTATCGTCTCTAAAAAAATACTTAAGCCCCCCCCCCCCGCACATCCCCCGTTTTTGCCTGGCAAATCTAATTAAAAGAAGAGTTTTCATTGCGCTAGCTAATATAACAGGTCAGTTGGAGTCCGTTTAAAGAATAACGTAAAGCGCGTAAAGAGTGAATATGTGAATCAATCTACATATTTACTCATATTCATAGACCTCAATTTTAATTAAACAGTTGTAGATTACGCATGTGGCCAGATTTTTTATCAATGCTGATTGGTATACTGATTTAGCAAGCGCATGGCAGAGTAAATCAAGTATTTTTGTGGACTTTATATGTTGACTATGTTTGCTTGGGTTAAAGTTCAACACAGTCTAGGTCATATGGCGACTTTCCAGCTTTACTGGTGAAGGAAGACATCAGGTACCCATTTGTACATTATTTCAGGCACAAACGGCTAGAACCACTTACGTTCCGTAAGCTAGCTGCATAGCTTTCTCACATGAAAATTCCGAAGTCAATGGCGGAATTTTTCATTCAGGCTATAAATGAAAGTCAGAACCTAACAACAATGCAATACGCCGTCTATAATTATTCAACATTGCGCATAATCTGCACAGTTTTTGTCAGACACGTATAGTTACCAGTTGTTTCTTAGTTGTTTTTCAATTTCGTTAAAAAAAATTTGTCGGTTTTAACTGTATTCGTCAGGAATCGTTTAAGTTTATTTATTTTTAAAGAGAAAGAAACTTTATTATGTAGTACTGTGGTATTGTGTGATCGGAAGGAACTCTAGGAATTGGGAATATCCCGCCGAATGAATTCGCAGAGAATTTCTAGTAGAAACAAGGAGAAAGTTGATTATAAGATGTTAGCTGAGGAAGGAGTGAAGGTGGTGGTTGAAAATGATCCTAAAATTGAAGACAAAGAATTGGGCACGAAACCAATAAAGACGAAAACGAACAGTGAGAAAATCCTGTCAACCTCCGATGCGGATAAGTCAGACGAAGTGAAATTTACCAAGTCACCGTCAGCTAGTAAACAAACAGGAAAACCCGTAAATTTGGAGAAAAAGGCAATGTTAGCTCGTTTAAATGAGTTAGACGAGTAGCAAAGACGTTTAGAGGAATAGAGAGAGTTAAACATTTTGAGAAAGCAGCTTTTGGAAAGAGAAGCATTTGTCTCATCGTTAGAAAAGTCATTATCTACAGAGTCAGAGGTAGAAACACTCTCCCCACCCATTCTGAAATCACGAGTGAAATCCGAAAGTTTAGGCGCAAGTAGTACATGTACGATAAATCCCCTGGGTTCAGCGTCCATCTCCAAGGATAAAGTGAGTAAGAAGATCGGTACTGGTAAGAAGATTAGCATTGCAGCTGCCTTTGACAGTCCTTCGAATCAGAAAGGTATGAACATTGATTCTTTACGCAAAATGACTGATTTGCAGAGAAAGGCAAAGAAAACATTAGCACAATTGGGATTTGTTGAAATGACAGAATCAGAGACTAGTACGGAGTACGAAGATGAATCTAGTTTTCCTTTTCGTCCTCTGATGCAGAAGAATTTTGTTTAGATTCTAAAAAGAAAAAATCTAAGACTGTTAAGAAACAGGTCACTAAATCAGAGATCACTTCCAAGTTTTCAGACATGGTCAAAAACAAAGATTTCCGCATTCAAACTTTTTATTTTGTTTCCAAAAATGTTTGTTTTGAAAATATTGAATTTAATCTATTCAAAGCAGATGAGTTGGAAATTGTCATGTCATCAAGAACTGGTAAAACTGAAAAAGAGGGTCGTTTATATTTACTCAAGAAATTAATGTATTTGAACAGTTCTTCTGACTTCTCAGCCATTAAAGCAGTATATGCTGCTATTCTCAGAGAAATCTAGTTAGGCCATAGTACTTGGGATGATGATTTTCAATATGTCGAGTCAGAAGCTTTAGCTAGACATGATAGAAAAGTTAAATCTAAACTTTTTGCTTCAGGAACACAGAACTCAAATTATCATTTTAAACCTAGGCCTGAATATACTATGCCAAATGATAAAACTTTTGTTAGTTCTGGTGATGAATCTTAAGTTTTCTTTTGTAACAAATATCAAAGAAATAGCTACAAATCTTCACATTCAATGACATTAAATGGCAGAAATAAGTTCTGTAAACATGTATGTGCCACCTGTTGGCAAACTGATAGGAAAGAATTAGCTCATCCGGAATGTTCAAGTTCTTGTCCGCATTTTCAAGATTGACTTTCTAATGGGTTGTGTACGGTAAATATTTCTGAGTCTAAAGATGAATTAGATTTAGGGATAGTTGATATTTTCTTGCCAGAATTTTGTAAGCATTCTGTTTTAAATATCAAGGTTAAGGTTTCCAATGTAAGCCATAGTTTGATGTTATAAGCAATCATAAGAAAAGTAGCAGGATTTGTGCTTCACTGAAGTTTTAAGTGATAGCACTGTTAATAAAGTTCATGTTTTATGAACAGGTTTAAAGCTTCATGAAAATTTTAATTTTGAATTATGTAAAATTTCAGTCAATGAGAAAATTGATGTTGAGTTCATGAAACGAATGTTGGTTCGTTATTTCGATATGCAAGTTTGTGACTTGCTTAGATTTGGATTTCCTATTGAGTTAGAGTTGGAAAATAAATCATTATTATTTTCTAAAGCTGTTAGTTTTAAAAATCATTCTGGTGCTAATACTTTTTCCAGACCACATAATTAAATATCTTTTGAAAAAGAAGCGTCTCATGGTGCAATTATTGCATTATTTTCGTCTGGTCCTTTTGCGGATGGTATGGTAGTATCTCCGTTAAGTCAAATCAATAATAAAAGGGGGTAATTTTTGGATTTAAAGTTATCCAAAAGATGGAACAGGGGTGAATGATTTGTGTCAAAAGATTGGTATCTTGGAGAAAAGGTTGATCTTGTTTTTTTCCTAAGATTGATGATTTTTGCC